GACTGCTTTTCCTCAGCTAGAGCTGAAAGCACAAAAACCTGCCATGTTACCCGGGGTGTGTAGACATTTTTTATTTCTACTGTAGCCGGCGGGGAAAAAATTCCAACAGCCCACCTACAAATATAAACAAATATCTTCCCGAAACAATTGTAGTTCATCAAAACTAATTGCCGTCTCCAAGATTCATCATTATTTCAATTCTGAAAGCTTGCTCTAGAGACGGCTCTGTTACTGCTTGTGCAAGTGGAGTGGTCTGGTTTACTACTGACGTTAATAATTTAACCACCAACACCCCAACCCCACCCCACCCAAACACACACAAAATAATAATAATAATAATAATAATAATAATAATAATAATAATAATAATAATAATAATAATAATAATAAATAGTAACAATTACAAATGTTCCAAAAACTGTAAATTTAAGAAGCCATGCAAAGATATTATAATGTTATAACACACTTTTACATTGCAGACAGATAAAAGTTCACTATCAAACATGTCATTCATAGGATAGTAATTAATGAACTGCCCTGAAGTGATATTAGAAGGATATATAGATAGACAGACAGATAGGTAGACACTGCAGACAGACAGACAGATAGATAGACAGATACTCAGACAAAAAAAAAAAAAAAAAAAAAAAAAAAAAAAAAAAAATAAACAAACAGATAAAAATGACAGACAGACAGACAGACAGACAGACAGACAACAGACAGACAGACAGACAGACAGACAGATGAAAGAATAGATAGATAGATAGATAGATAGATAGATAGATAGATAGATAGATAGATAGATAGATAGATAGATAGATAGATATATAGATAGATAGACACTGCAGATAGATAGATAGATAGATAGATAGATAGATAGATAGATAGATAGATAGATAGATAGATAGATAGATAGATAGATAGATAGATAGATAGATAGATACTGCAGACATATAGATAGATAGACACTGCAGATAGATAGATAGATAGATAGATAGATAGATAGATAGATAGATAGATAGATAGATAGATTCCACCCAAATTTGGTGTATATAAATGTGTTAATTCATTATAGGTTTTTTTTTTTTATTATATAATAATGCTTTTTTAAGTACTATAAATAAATGAATCACATGAAAATGAATTACATGTAAATGAGTCACATGCATGAATATGAATCACATGAAAATGTATCATATGTAAATTAATCACATGTAAATAAATCATATGAAAATGAATAAATAAACAAAGGCAAAAAAAAAAGTACTATAAGAAACATTTGTCAGCCCATGAATATATGAACACTTTAATGTGTAGTTATTATGAAACGCTGCCTCTAGTACTCAGCATCATGTAAATAAAGAAACAGAATGTGTCCCTTGTGGCTATAAATTAAAAAATTCAATCAAAAACACCCCAATGCAATTTACATATAAAACTAATAATAATAATAAAGCTAACAAGCCTATTATATACTTAGTGTATGAATTGTGTACAGTTTGCTTAACTGACATGCAAACTGAAAAGAATGGATTTCAGCTGCTTTGTCTCAACAGTCAGTCCCATTGTGAAGTCTTATAGAGAACTGAGGCACATGGAAATGTAACGAGTGCTCTGTTCACTGTTGCTTGCTCAGGACATTTCACAATAGGAGGTGCATGTTGTTTTGTTCTGGGCAAGTATAAATTCAGGGGTTAAACATGGCAGAGTGTCAGTTCATCAACTGGAAACTGCTCCAGCTACCAAATCCTCTGTCGTGACTAAGGACATCACCATGGCCAGGGTGAGTACCGGAGTTTAATTAAAGATTTATCATTTCCTATTTGGGACAAAATTATATATTCTAAATTTGACTAAAAACAACTAGTATCAGGATGATCCCTTATCATGTGAAAAGACCTCTGTGTTTCTAATATTGCTCTCAAAGCCAGTTACCATCACAGGGTGTAGTCCATGTCAATGCCAAGCCCACTGGCATTGTAACTGACCCCCAACAGGTCACGCTGTAGGAGATGAGCCCATAAGATGGCTCCATGGTGCCATTTCAGGCTGAGCTTGACCAGGTTATATCAGTGGCCTGGTCAACAGATGCTCACTTGAAAACACCACACACAGGCTCCAGGGGAGAGGCTCAGAAGCCCTAATCTGGGAAGGGTACACTTGGTCTTCTTTGTACCTTTCATATGGGTCTTTCGAATCACATTGTTTGACCTCTCTACTCAAATCAGTTGAAGTTATCGATCCATGAATGGGTTCTAACATTGAAATAGATTTATTTTAAATCTGAAAAGATGGCCTCATCCGATAGGAGATTAGTGTAGTTGTGACACCAATATGACAGATCTATAATCTTGCTCTGACCTCACTCAGTTCTTGAAATATTTACCCCCAAAAAACCAGATCATCTTCTACGAGGACAGGAACTTCATGGGTCGCTCCTATGAGTGCAGCAGCGACTGCTCTGATATGTCATCCTACCTGAGCCGCTGCCACTCGTGCAGGGTGGAGAGCGGCTGCTGGATGGTGTACGATCACCCCAACTTCATGGGAAACCAGTATTTCCTCAGGAGGGGCGACTATTCAGACTACATGAACATGTGGGGCTGGGGCAACAACTGGATCAGGTCCTGCCGCATGATCCCAATGGTATGCTAATCAACTTGCTAGCATCACAATTTCTCAATCTGAAATAATGTAAGTTGGCTCACATGGTTCTCTTCCATAAAACAGTACAGGGGCTCGTACAGAATGAGGATGTACGAGAGGGAGAACTTCATGGGTCAGACGATGGACGTGACTGACGACTGCGACTCCATCATGGATCGCTACCACTGGTCAGGCGGATGCCACTCATGCCACATCATGGACGGCCACTGGCTCATGTACGAGCAGCCCCACTACAGAGGCAGGATGTGGTACTTCAGGCCCGGAGAGTATCGCAGCTTCAGGGAGATGATGGGAATGAGCGGAATGAGGTTCATGAGCATGAAGCGCATCATGGATTCCTGGTATTAAACAAATCAAATTGTGTAAATACTGAATAAAATGCTTCAAAATGATTTTTCTTGTATGCCTTCTGGTATTATCTATAACTTTATACGATCCCCGTTCAAAACATTTAGGAAGGGTATGACCACAACATTTTTATATGAAAGTGTAGGTTTTTAAACCATCAATGTAACCAGAATGGCCAGTGGTCTGTGGTTCCAGACTTGGAAAGGCCAGAACTTCACTGAGGATACAGAAATGCAAACACTCTCCTTTTACCCTTGTCTGCACTTGAGAAAGCACATTGCCAACTGATAATACTGAACGCACAGCCAGTTGTGCTACAGAGGTTGAAAAACTGAAGCTGCTTCTTGATGAGCTGCATGACAGCCAAACAGTCTGGCTGCCAGTTCTGAGAGAATCCTTTGAATCTTTCTATGGAAAGAGCCTGCTCCAGAGGAGTAGTGAGATTTGAAAAAAAAGAAAGAAAGGAAGAAAGAAAGAATGGAAAAAAAGCAATAGAAAATTGCCCAGAAAATAATAAACTGGGTTGCCATGTCTGACTCAAAAGAGGTGTTGGATGGCAGCGACCGCTGGATTGCAAAGAAATGGAAACCATCAGCTCGGTGGCCGGTGATAAAGACACAGTACTCATCATTTAAAGTTAAGCGGCATTAGTCCGAAAATTTGCCCTGGACCGAGGACAGGAGGAATTTACCCAACAAGATGTCATTGCATCACTTTAAAGCAATTTAAAGTAAATTAACAATATGTTACAGGAACAAAAAAACGCACCAACGTGTTACATCTTTTCCATATGATTTAGCAAACCATAATATTTTAAACAGACATCCTTCTGCCCTGAGACAGTGGGTTGACAGTGTAGGTTTTTTATTCCTAACTGTTCTAATGTAGTCTTTTTCTTATAGAATTCCTTAAAGGCATTCAAATCACACTCATCAATCCTGCAACATACATCACCCCCCATCCTCTTTGTCATTCTTCTTCTTCGATATATAAAATCACTGATTACGTCCTTAATAGCCTACTTACTGCATCTGCATTTTTAATACACGATAATTGCCTTGTTTCCGCTGGGAGGTGTGCAATAGAGGCCTCAAATAGCTCCAGAATGCAGATGCATTTTATGGGTCATTAAGTAAATGAGATTGTAGGATATCAATATTTTCATACCAGTCACACGCAAGACGTCTGTAAATGTTGGCCGTGTTCCAACTACGAACTCGTTTCATTTTTTCACAAAATCGTACAGAGGAAAGACACATGCAACTGGTTACAATTATGATGTAATTTCATTTTATTTTGAGGAGTTATTTTTGAGCAAAAACATATTTTCTGTAAAAGAAGACTATTGAAGGTTGTAAAAATCAAGCAGGACAGATATTATTGCGTCTTCATGAGATTCCAGTTCATATTTCTTTCTATGACTATTCAATGTTTCTGCCACTATTGAACTGGGGACGCAGAATCATTTTTTTCAACCTTCTCAGCCGATCATTTTTGTTCCACCGTGGTGCTGTGTGAAATAAAAATAAAGGGATGTAAGATTAAAACAGCACCTTGTATGCTGTGAAGTCCTTTATATTTGCTAAACTATAAAACGGAGCCCTTCGTGGAGTCCCTATCACTATTCAGTTCATTCCTTCATCCTCAGTAACCGCCTGGTCAAGGTCGCGTTGGTTTAAAAAGATATATTAAAAGACAGTTCCATGCACATCATTTTTGCGACCAATAACGAGCTTGAGTGTTATAGCCGTGGCTGAGGGAACTGTCAGAGACAGGATTCATACTATGCTAACAGTGCTAGCGTTTCCAAATCTAGGTTTTATCCAGTGTTTTAGCATATTAGCTAATAATAATAGCATATTGGTAACCCTATATTTTAAACCTTAAAATCCGACTAGAGATACAGATATTTAAAACACTGAACACATGCAGATATAAACACAGATAGTATTGCGTCATTGCATTTCACCCTAGAATCAACTAGAGCCTGGATAGCTCAGTTGATAGAGCATCAGATGTTTAATCTGAGGATCCAGAATTCAAGTCCCTGTCTGGGCATTATAAAAGTAGTTAAATGTTGGACTACTGATTGGATGATCATGAATTCAAATCCCAGTGCTGCCACTGTTGGGCCCTTGAGCAAGGCCCTCAACAGCTCAGTTACATAAATGAGATAAATGTAAATCACTCTGGATAAATAGCATAAATGAAACTATGTCTTAGCCATGATAACCTTCACGGAATACTGTGTGGAACCACAACATTTATCTTTGTATAAGTTATGTCTTTTAGTTTTATTATTGCTAGCTGTACCAACATCCCATTCTTGCAAATCACACATAGCAGGGTTTCAAATGCCACAGCGCAACTTCCCTTTGGTTCATCCTTGGTTTATCATTTAGAACCGTAGTTCTCAACGTGGGGTCCGGAAAGCCCACACAAGGAGTCGATCATTTTGTTGTTTTTGTTACAGTGGTGAAAATCACAACACCATTATGATTAAGAGATGTACCAGAATGATTATATTTATAATTGAGTTCCTGTAGTTATTGGCCTACTTGACCGGTTACTTGAATCGAATGAGTTTAATCCAAACCTCGATAACTCAAAAACAAATAGCCTATAAATAACTTGAATCTAATGAATATTTTTAATAAAACTGTTCAGTTAGTGGAAAGTTCGGGAATTAAAAGCTACCTGGCTTTTTATAAATAGCCACACTATTATAGTAAATATTTACATAGTTATTATTCCTAATATTGGAATATTTGTATTATATTCAGAAAATAATAACAGTGGTTAGCACGTTCGCCTCACACCTCCAGGGTCCGAGGTTCGATTCCCGCCGGGGCCCTGTGTGTGCGGAGTTTGCATGTTCTCCCTGTGCTGCGGGGGTTTCCTCCGGGTACTCTGGTTTCCTCCCCCAGTCCAAAGACATGAATAGTAGGTTGATTGGTGTGTCTAAATTATCCGTAGTGTATGAACGGGTGTGTGAGTGTGTATGTGATTGTGCCCTGTGATGGACTGGCACCCTGTCCAGGGTGTACCCCACCTTGTGCCCGATGCCTCCTGGGATAGGCTCCAGGTTCCCCACAACCCTGAAGAAGTAATAAGCGGTTGAAGATGGATGGATGGATGGATGGGTTAGTAGATTTTTTTCTTTACAATTAAATGGCTGCAAAAAAAGTTCCAAAACCCAGGATTTAGTACCCCTTGAGCTAATAAACACCCACCTACACACATTTCTAGCTGCAGACCTTCGTCTGCCCTCCTCATCGATCCTCTTTTTACTCCAGTGTGTCCTTAAAGCCCTGATTTAATAAGGCATTGAATGATGTGAATTAATCTACACTCAAAATGCTAGCAGAAGTCCCAATCGGTATTTAAAAAAAAAAAAAAAACCCACATTGCATACTACATGTTCACTTTCATTTATAAAAGTGGCTGAAATATAAAGTTTGACCTGTCTTAAATATTGTTTTTCTCTTTAATTTCCTTTTCACGTCGTACATGGTGCATCCCTTTTTGCAATAACAGTGCTGCTAAGTTACGGCTGATTTCCATTTCTCATCTGCTGCTCCTTAATAATATTAAATAAATAATATTATAAACGAGAAGCACTGACATAAAAGTGGGTGGATCTGCGAGTGATCATAAGCTTGTCATTTTAAATCTTATGACTGCCAGGGGTCCTGAGCAAGGCCGTGGACTTTTCTCTGCTTGGATTGTATCCCCGCTCTCGTTGTAATTATTGCTTGAGGTAAGAGCGTCTGTCGACGTAAATAACAGTAAAGTGGAAATTCTATAGAGGGGAAATTGTTTCCCATTTAAAGTGTCATTATTATTGGACACCGTGTATTCTTGTGCCAAAGAACAATAGACGTTTACTAACAATTTATACATAATCTTTGCATATATCTGAAGGGATTATTATCAAGGTCATCTACCTTGTTTACATTAGGTTGAACAGAGCTGCGTGTCTATGTCCCTTACCAAATAGAGTTCAATATAGCCTAATTAGCACTTTTTTTATATATATATATATAACGTTTTAAATATAAGTGTGTGCTTTTGTTACCATATTCCCTCCCAATGAGACTTTTTTTTAGACTGATGGTATTCTTAGTCCATGACCTAGTGTACTACTATCAGGATCTATTAATTGATAGAGAAGCATTTCTGTAAATCGCTCTGGATAAGCGCGTCTGCCAAATGCCGTAAATGTGAACGTAAATGCAAATAGATAGAACATGGATGGCTGGATGTAATCACTGGCAAATTTCTGAACTGAAGGAGGTGTGCAGTTATTGGAAAATGATCCACTTCAGGTTGGTAAAAGGAACTCTGCCTCGTGATGCTCCACATCATAGACACACGGTCATGTTTTATTCTTACGTAAACAATTAAACGGGCACAATGGGATGGGCTTGATTGCGTTTGAGTTTTGCGTGTACTGAATATACCGTTTCGCTGTAACTGAGTACATCCACACTGATACAGTATGTCGCCTCACTTTTAAGATGAGCGCATCTGCCACGTAAATAAATACAAACATTGGAATAAAATGGACTTTTTTTTTTAACTGACCCCTGTAAGTAAGACTAAACTTGGGAGGATTTAGAGAGCGATTCACAATAAACAGTTCTGGAAGCGGTAATAGTTGTGGTTTATATTTAGGAACATGTTGTGTCGGCCATCGCGCTAATTGCTCTACCGCGCTAATGCGCTGGAAAGAATGAGAGCTGCTGTCTCTCAGTGGAAATGAACACAAAATGAGTGTTAATTGGTGGCCCTTTTACAAAGAATAGCACTCAAGCGCTTGCCTTGTCTGCGCTCTCTCAGTGTGTGACCTCTAATTCGGAAATTTCTTTTTAAAAATAGCACTTAGAGGCATAAGGGAGGGTGTCACAGTCAAGGGCAAAAGGCGTTTGAGGTCTGTGTGCTGTCTGCCACCCTGTCAAATCTGCTCTTGAATTGTTCATTACTGACAGGCCCTTGAATGAGTGTGGAGTTTAATTGCACTCTTTGACCCTTATTGATGGTACATCCTTATACACTCACATCCAAGCATTATCTTGCTATCTGTCTCTGGTATAATGCCAGAAGCTCTTTAACGGAGAAATCAAAGCTAAATGTAACAGCTTTAAATTGGCTGTGTGTGTGTGTGATGCAAGCATGGTCCAGTCAGTGATTACATGGACACAGCCTGGGAAGCACAAGTGACTCTGTGCGTGTGTTTGTTTGTGTGTGTGTGTGTGTGTGTGTGTGTGTGTGTGTGTGTGTGAGCACGAGTCCGACACATCCTTTCTGAGGCTCTTTGAGTAAAGATGCTGCAGGGCTCAAGGACAGATGCTCCAGATGGCGGCTCTGTGACAACCTTATAATGAAAAATCCCAAAGTGAGGACGTGATAATACATACAGAGTAAACATAAGCAAAAATGCTGCATCACGTAGCAATTTTACTAGAGATAGCGCTGACTCGATACACAGAATCAGTTTGACACCGGGAGGGGAAAAAATGGCGGACTGGATATCGCAGAAAGAACGAAATAAATCGGATCCTATCCCGTAAGAAATGGAAAGGATTGGATTCTAGAAAAGACGTTGAGGTTTTCTGGAAACAGGAAATGCTTACAAAAATAATTTCAACTTCATTGAAATTTTTGTTAAGATTGATTTTGATTACATTTATACGTTACACTTTATTATATCTATTATACAGCGTGTTCCAAAAGTCTCCATGAATAGAGGACTATGTTTTCTAGCACCACGTCGGTTGTGCCTTCGTCACTAGATGTCCGTGGACCTCCACTTCCTTCTCGGTCGGTCCGCAACACTTCAGGTCTTTAGGAATGTGTTAATAAGTGTGATGTGCTCGCCATGTTTCCTGTTAAAGTCCATCGCACCCAGCCGTGAGAATGATTTCAATACGTTCTTCTTTCGTCATTCTTAAAGGCTGTCTGAATCTATAGATATAATATAAACTAAGTATGAAACTTTTTGGAAAAAGGTGTCCATCTCCCCTAAGTATGAAGACGTTCTGGAACCCTGTCCTAGGTAAAATGGGAATGTTCACTTGCACGATTTCCGACACTGTGATAGTAATACAGCATACATAGTGTAAAGACATCAGTTGGTGTATTTTTATCCTTATCTTTATCAGTGTCCATTTTTAATACAATTACACTATGATATAGACCAGTGGTCCCCAACCCACGGGCTGCGGACCAGTACCGGTCCGTGGATCAATTGGTACCGGGCCGCACAAGAAATAATTAAATATTTCCATTTTATGTATTATCTGAATCTGAACGATAAACCTTTTATTTTGAGAAATGACCGGATTCTCTCGGTTACGTCTTGCGCGCCAACATTGAACCCACAAGCGAGCAAAATGAGTAAGAAACAGACGTTTTTGGAAAGTTTCTTTGTGAAGGGGAAAAGGCCCGGTGAAGAGACAGGAGAAGAGCCCACTTCCAAGAAAAATAAAGCTTTTAACAGACAATACCAGGAGTCCTACTTGAAATATGGATTTATCCCGGTAGGCGATTCCCACATACCAAGCCCGCTCTGCATAATATGCGCGCGACCAGCTCGCTAATGAGGCAATGATGCCTTCAAAACTGCTTCGACCAACTGGAGAGCATGCACCCTGGATTAAAAGACAAGCCCCTGAAGTATTTTGAAAGAAATAAAACAGGAACACGACGGACAGAAGAAATGACTGAGGGACACCACGTCAGTAAATGCGAATGCACTGAGAGCATCGTACTTGGTGGCTAACTGTATTGCTAAGGCTAAAAAGCCATTCACTATTGGTGAAGAATTGATCTTGCCCTCCACTGAAGACATTTGCTGTGAACTTCTAGGAGAGGCTGTTGTTAAAAAGATCACGTTATCGTGAGTTAAAATTTTCATGAAAATAAAATGTTCTTTATAATCGTTTTTGTGGCGTATCTGTATCTTATTTTGAAGGGATGTTTAAACGTTACCATAGCGACCAGAGTCAGAGAGAGCGTTAGGGTAGTGGTTGAGAGGAGAGGAGGGGACAGGAGTA